ATCACCATCACTATCAAATAAATACACACACATGAACCCCCCATCTACAAACGTAAATTCAATAGAATAGAATAGAACCGAGAATCCAGATATCATATCATATCATATCATATCCTATGCTATGCTATGCTATCCTATAAAATCCTATCCATCTTTCATATCCAGTATCCTCCATATCATATCATATTGTGTTGTATTTAATATCTGTCTTATTTGCACCCTATCCCGCATTCCCATGACGAAAAAGAAAAAATGAGAGAAACCCCAAACTCACTCCATAGCACCTGCCCATACATACCATGAGAAAATTTGAATCGAATTGAATAGTATCAAAAGAGAAAATTGAGCATCTTTCCCTTTCCTGCTTCTTTCCTTCCGTTGGCTAAGTTTTGGAAATGTGTATGTAGGAATTGAAGGTGGAAGGAGCTATGAAGATAGATTGGAACAAATATCCTTAAAACCCAATTCAACAAGCAAATAAGATAGATCAATCGAATCAAATCAAAACGTTTCCATGCTTTTTGGCAATCCATCCATTCATCGCCATACCTCGCTTTCTTTTGATGCCCATCACAAATCAAAATCAGAATCCGAAGATCAAATGAGAAGAAAATGTATGCATAGACGCATGCCTGCAGTGAATGATCAGGGAGTTAATGCAAGTAGCAGCAATGCAGATGAATGAATTCATCAAACCACGCATTCATCCTGAAAATCAAACTCAAATCATGACCTTCGTACTCAAGCTGTTGAAGTCTCAGCAGCTTTAACTTCGGAATCTTTGCCGTCAAGTTTTTCAGCGGTATCGGCTACATCGGCTGCAACTTCTGCTTTGGCTACATCTTCCTTGGATGCAGATGTGTTGGTCCCGTTGGTACCATTTGTTTCTGGGATTGTTGGTTCCTCGGTTTGTTTCTCTGCTGAGGTTGATGAGACTTCCTCTTTTGTTTCTTCTGCAGTTTCATTCTCTTTTTCTTTTTCAGCTTCTTTCTCTCCTTCGACTACAGCTTCTTCCTTCTCAGCTTCTTCTTTCTTAGCACCAATCAATCCTTCTACAACCTCAAGTGTACCCTTAGGACTTCCAGCCTGTGCAGCCAACACCTTTCCAGATTTGTCAATGACAAATACACCTCTAGTGGTACCCTTTGCATTTTTCAAACCAATTGCGGAGATAAGTGAAGACTTTGTGTCGCAAAGAAGTGTGTAAGGAAGTTTTTGATTGGTTTTGAAGGTGGTGTTGGATTTGGGGGAATCTTTTGAAAGACCATAGACGGTGTAGCCGGTTAAGAGGAGGGTAGGATGAGAGTCGCGGAAAGCGCAGACTTGGGTTGTGCCTTGAGGAAATTAGTGATTGTATGAAGATTAAGTTGAACAGATGAGAATGGGATTGAGATGGATTGATGGATGGGTGGATGGATAAAATATTGAAGGAGTAGGATACTTACATCAGGAGTAGAAGCTTTAGGATAAGTAAAAAGTACAACACCGTTCTTACTCTCGGAAACAAGTTTCTCGAGTGTAGTCTTTTCACCTTCATTCGTTTCAATCTCTCCACCGAATCCTTTAAGATCGATGGTTTCACCAACTACAGCTTTTGTTGTTGTTGTTGTTGCTGTTGCTGCTGCTGCTGGAGCTGGAGCGGCAGCTGAAGCTTTAGAAGCTTTAACTTGAGGCAAGGGAGCTGGAGCTTCGACTTTAGTTTCAGTCTTTGCTTTGGTGCCATTTGTCTTTGATGGGGGAGCAGCTTTGGTAGCTTTGGTAGCTTTTGGTTCAGCGGCTTTCTTGACGGTTTCTTTAACTTTTGCGACGGATTTCGCGACAGTTGACTTCTTTTTAGCAGGAGGAGCTGGAGCAGGAGGCTCAGCTGGAGCGGGACGTTTTCTTAATGTAACGGGCATGATTGTGTATTGTGTTTGAAGAGATTGGAAATTGAAGGTGGTTGTTGTTGTTATTGATGAGGTTGATTGTCGCGATTGTTGGTTTGCGATAAAGAGGGAGATCTTATCCGAGATGGATGGGGAAGTGGTTCGATGAAATACAATTCACTTTATAATTGAGTAGATAATAATGATGATAGAAAGGTGATGGATATGTCCACGGTAAGATAGATACTCTTTGAATTGAGAAAAAGGAGAGATGAATAGGACAGAGTGAAGAGAGAAGAGATAAAAAGGAAGATGTTATGTAGTTAAATTATAAGCTGAGCAATCACTCAATCACCTCACTCCCCATCCATTCTCTCCAGCCACGGGGGCTCTGGTTACTTTCTGTACCGTGCAAAAAACAAACAAGGTAGGTAGGTAGGTTACTTTTAGGGGGAATGATGGATAGTTTCGGTCTTTTGGCGTTGTACAGCAATTCACGCGTTTTGGGATATGGGAGTTCTATGACCTGTTGTCTGAGGACTGTGTTTTTTTTTTGGTTTTTTGGGAATGTATGTAATATTTACTGGATTTGGAGAGGACTTTGTCTGGTGTATGTATCTACTAGGTAGGTATTGGACATGTTGACATGTCTGTCTATGTTCTGTATTCTGGACAGGTTAGAGGATTTCATGAATGGAGATTCACAAATGGAAATCGGGACTGATTGGTGGATATGGTTGGTTTGTGCTGCAAAACATGAATTGGCAAAGTCGGGGAAGGGGAAAACTTTAGGGGAGATACGGGACAGGAATAGGAATCAGGATGGATGAAGAATTGTGGAGTGGATGAGATATTGATTGGTTGTGTGTGTGTGTAGTATGTATGTATGGTAGTATGGGATGGACATTGTGTGTGTGTGTGCGAGAGAGAGAGAGAGAGAGAGAGGAGAGGATCAAAAGAGACAATTTACCTATCATTGCAGCACTTGTAGATATATACCATGTATACATATTTCAACGTCGACATGAGAAATCGACTCTCGATTCAGGTGATGAAATTGAAACCCTTTGGAAAGAATACCTAGTAGCTCATATGGTGGAGATATATATGTGAGAAGTGTTAATACTACATAATATCTACCTACCACCTACCTACATACCTACATACCTACATACCTAGCTTTGGATAATATAACCAGAATCAGAATATGGCAATGCCGTCCGCCCGTTACTGATATCATTACTTGATATCCATATATCTTACATCTCAAACACGCACAAACAGACACTTACTTTTGTGGGAACGTAAGAAAAGTCCAAGCAAATATGGTAATATCGTATGGTAAAATACCCTCGCACCACTCCTCCCAAGACGACCAAGTAGTCACACCAAGTCACCTCAGAGTCCAAACTAACCTCAAGAAAGGCCATCTAGAGGAAGCGTAACGGGAGCCCCGCACATCACCTAGGTCCTAGTAGCTTGTGAGTTGTAAGTTGTCGTCTGTACATAGAATAGTACATGTGACAAGCTCAGGGTTTGAGTTTGAATGATAGCTAGAGTTCTCATGGGTAAAGTTCTTTTATGGTTTGATCTCTACTATCTCTACCAGTACTACTCTGTCAGTCTGTACAGTACTATCAACCTTCTACATCCAACACCTTACTTCCAGCTTACATGCCAAAGTCCTCGGATAACATCCCGAGTGTTCTCTGGTTTTAATTTAGTTGGTTGGCCAAAGAGTAACCTAAGTCTCGGGTCCAAGGTCCAAGGTCTAAGGTGCAAGGCCAATATCGTGGCCCGAGGAAAGAGATATACGATGTACTGGATTGGACGGACTGGACTGACTGGACTCGAGACTGGCCTCAACTGGTTAATCGGTACAATGGATAATATGATATTTGCCATGATTACCCGGACCCATGAATGTATGTAGGGTAGGAGGTAGGTAAACTCGGATTCCCTTCAATTTAGATTCCAATATCATTTGTTGGTTATGTCCTTGAATGGCTGAGATGGTTCTTGAACCGTCCTTGAATAATGATGAGATTGATCATCCAAATGATGTAGGTAATCCATCAAATCACCAATCCAAATTCATGTTAAACCATATACATACCTCGATAAGTAATACCTGGTAATTCCACCACTTTCTATCAAATCTCGTATTAGGAATTGAGAGAGCCCATTCGTCCGGCAATCGGAGAAGAAGAAAACGATAACCAAGGTTAAAAAGGGACGAAATGTGGAAGATCTTCTCTTCTGCTCAAGATCAACAATCCATCAACAATATGGAGAAGAGAAGGAAGAACCTTGGCTCTCGTTCTCGTTCTCGTCCAGTCAGTCCAGTCCGTCGACAGTCCTTGAGCTTGACTTGAGACATCCATGATCGGATAGAAATTAAGCGAAACCCCGATGGCGAAAAATTTGATTTTCACAAGCAAAAAAGTAGAATAGGTAGGAGGAAAAGCCCAGACAAAATCAGAATTCATCCGACCCTTTATCTTTGAAATCCTATCCATGGATCCATCATCTTACTAACAATTTCGATATTTCCTATAACTTTATACCTTGATACCTTATAAACTATCTGACTCTTCCTCCTTCTGATTACTACGAGTGATTTATATCCTACACATCCTACAACATCCTAACATCATACATTGGTTTTTCGCGATAACCCAAAATAGATTAATAGAAACACAATAAATCCAGTATTCTTCAATCATCAATCATCACTCAATCAAGTCGTTCCTCCAGTCACGATCGACAATTACTCATCGATACTTAAAAATCCATCCCTACGATAACGTTCCTCAGTCCCTCTAAGATTAAAAAAAGCAGGGGCCAAATCTCCAACAGCACACGGACAAAGGCACACGATCAAAATGAAGGGTCTTTTCTAGCGACTGCAAATTCGATTACTCATGGGAAGAGGTTTCAACTGCAAACTGGAGAAAGTATTGTCCATGGAATCATAAATCTACTCACGTTATCGCCGTCGATACATTATCACGACATGTCGATGCGGAAACTGGAATTGTACGTTCTTTCTCTTCTTCCTGTTCTTCTTCTTCTTCTTCCTCTTCCTCTTCCTCTTCTTCTACTTCTCCAGTCACAAATATGAATACTAATCAAATGCAGCTACGAACCGAACGTTTAATTACCTGCCAACAATCAGCTCCAAAATGGCTTCAATCTCTCATGGGCGGTAAAGATACATCCCACGTCTTCGAAACCTCATACGTCGATCCTGTTACCAAAAAAGTCACAATGACTTCTACCAATCTCACATTTTCCAACATCATCAATGTGCAAGAAACAGTCGTTTATCAACCTTTATCAGCAAACACAACACAATTTGTACAAACGGCACAGATTACTGCATTATGTGGCGGATGGCAAAAAGTAAAGAATGCAGTTGAGGATGCGACAGTTACGGCTTTTTCGGAAAATGCACGAAAAGGAAAGGAGGGATTCGAAGCAGTTTTGGCCATGAGCAGGAGGGTGTTCAGTGAGGAGAAAATGAGACAGCAACAAGCCGCTACCGTTACTGCATAAAGTTTGAAATTTGAAAGGAGTTTTGGAGAGGGGTTTGCATGCAGATATTCCGGTTCGGTCCGAGATGTACATGATGAGATTCAGATCACTTGAATCTCATTACATCACGACTCCAACGATTTCTCCCTTATTCTTTTTCTCCTCTCCACTTCACTTCAACGATCTCCTTACTTCACTTTGCCATTTACGAATTGTACATCATCTGGGGAGTTTTGGGATTTTTCATTACAGGTCCCGGTATTAAAAAAAGTCCCCTTTTGGAGTTCTAGAAGGAAAGTCCTCGGTTGCACATTCTATTTTAAGCGCGGCGTTACAAAAGGATAAATGGGATTGGGTTAGGTTGGGGTTTGCTTCATAAAGACGATTGTCTTTTGTTGTCTTTGAATGAAAAAGTTTTGATGTTCAAAGAAGTTTTTCATCCTCAACGCTGATGTGGGTTATTGTTACGATACAGATACCCCTTTTTTCACTTTTTTCCTTTTTGCTGTACTTGTTTTCTTCTTTGAAAGGGGAGATAAAAATAGATGGATAGATGGGTGGGTGGGTTATAGATGAGGCTGAATAGGGAGGGATGTAGATAGAATGCGCGAGTCAGTGAGGGACTTGAAGAGAAAGAGAATCATTAGACTTTACTTTGAACTGTGGTGGTTTATATGAGTGAGTGAGTGATTGATGTATACGTATATGAATAAAATGTATGTGAGATGTTATCAGGAAGTACATAAATCTTTATTTTCCCTTTCTTCTATCTCGTTTCTTCTCTTTTCTTTTTGAAATACTTGGATAGGTATTTACTGGTGGGGTGGATAAGTTACTGATTATCTTCGAGTGAGTGAATAAGTGCGAGTATATATATATATAAGATTTAAATTTAATCTAGATTTGAGTATGTATACTTGGAGTTCGATTATCTTTCGAATGAGTGCGTGAATAAGTGAGTGAGTATATGAGGTTTAGCTCTAGATTTAGATCTCGGATTCGATTTGAGTATAGATATGTATATGTATGAATATGTATGAATATGTATGGATATGTATGAATATGTATGGATATGTATGGATATGTATGAATATATGAATATGAATATGTATATGAATATGTATATGTATATGTATATGTATATGTATATGTATATGTATATGTATATGTATATGTATATGTATATGTATATATATATATATGTATATGAATATATAATAGAAGTATTGGTTTCTTATTTCTTATTTCTTATTTTTTTTTTGGAATATTTAGATGTTTAGATGTTTAGAGATTGAGAGAGGGAGAGAGAGGGAGAGAGGGAAGTGAGAGGGAGGGGAGAGGGGTGAGTTGGGCGTTAGGGGTTAGAGGTTGAGGGAAAGGGGATTAGATATTTCATATTAAATACTTTAGATAAATAATTAGATGAAATAGAATAATTAGAATAATATGAGTTTATAAGAAAAACGAGGAAGAGAGAAAGAGAGCGAGGGGAAAGGAAAGGAAAAGAAAGAGTAAAAAGAAAAGAATTACTGGTAGATAAATATAAAAATAAATAGTAAAAGACTAAAGCTGGGAGACATTTTCTGAGAGGGGGGAAGGGGGGGCGGGGGGGGGGGGGGTTGTATGTGTATATGAGAGAGAGAGAGAGAGAGAGAGAGAGAGAGAGAGAGAGAGAGTGTGTGTGTGTAAATGTGTGTGTGTGAGTACCTAGTAGGTATACATAGTAAGTATGTACATAGCTAGTACCTAATAGCTAGTACCTAATATACACATATATACATATACATCCCGATATCACATCATATCATAACATATCAGAGAAGAAATGAAATGAAAAGTAAAGAAAAGAAATAAGAGGTACGCAGGAAATGGAAAAGTATTTATTCTTCTCAGACAGGAAGTTTTCTTTGATATTCTAATATAATCTAGATTATCCACCCATACTCTAATTTCTTCTATTATCACTTGCATCTAAATCATAAACCCCTATTCTCTTAACCTCCTATATACTCAACACTCCAATCTAGACCATCCACCCTCCTCATTTTCAAGTTCTCGATGCTGTCTCTTCATCTTAAAGAATGGGAAGCTCACCATAGTGTCGAAACGTGTACGCGTTAAGAATATCCATCAACAGACCCATAGATCGCTTTCCTCCTTGCGAATCTTCAACATGTATGAACTCGAGATCATGATACGTGCTGGTAAGTGCGGGAACGAATTTCGGGGTGGATGTATTGGAAATAGGAGGTTGGAGTAGGTATTTCCAGCTAAATTGTCGTTGCCTGATAGGTTGAAGCCATTTATTAATGCCATTTTTAAAAAGATTCCCAATCTCGAAGTGGCCATTGTAAAATTGTGAATCGTGTTTTGGCTAGGAATCAAAGATTCGGGATTCCGAGCGCAAGAGAAGACAAGTTGAGTAATTATAAGAGGGAATTCCCATCCATTTTCCATTCACTGTCCTCTTCTCGCTTTGTCTTTCTTGAAATCCTGAAATGGGGATCTGTCGAACTATCCAAGATCACAGGTTCCTTGTACCCCATTCCAGGGCCTCCAATTATCTCATATTCATCTCTCGGCATTTCTTAACATTCCCAATCTCTCATCGATATTTCACTACCTCCTACCTCAGGAACATCGGAAAATGACATAAGTGCCGTTAAGAGTACCTCCCCCTTGTCTTCAACACGGATTCGCTTATTCTCTTCCCAGCCCATCTTAGCAGCGGCAAGAATGAGAAGCGCAATCTTCCTCTAGCTGAGTCTAGTTTTTCAATATGCGCGCACGAACAAGCCCTCTTGCTGACTCGTCAGCCACTCATTCTCACTCCATGATTCCCGTAAAACCCCTTTGGAGTACCGATACTCTTTCTGTTTAGCACCAAATCCAACGTATCAGAATCCTTCAAATCCCCACCAAATATCAAACAAGAACTGCTCATCTTAATTCCGACAATTCATCTCACTTCTCTTCCTCTCCTTTCTCGTTCTCCACATCTCCTCTCATATTTCTCCACCACTGCCCTAAAATCCTCCATTAAATCATCTTGTTCCAAGATCCTCTCCGATAACTTCCTCGCTTCTTCAAATCTTCTATAAAAATACAATTCTTCAATCGCGTAGAGGAATTGAGCTGTTTGTGGTTTACTGCGTGGGTTTAGAGGGAGAGGAGGGAGAGTTTTATGGATCTATTTGGATTGTTAATCATTGACCTATCTTCAATTTTGCACACAATATAACCAGAAAAGAGGTAAGAGGGAAACTGTGCGAATGGAGGGGGAGGGAGGCAATAGACGGAGGAGGAAAAGAAAGCGCAAACATACCTCGCCAGATTCGCTTCTAGCTTTCCATTCACGTTTTACAGCTTGAAAATTCTCTTCGGATTGGAAATCTCGAGGGATTTTTTCCGTGGTGTCGGGGGTAGATTCATCGGATGAGTCGTATTCGATTGCGAAGAGGGGGTTTTCTTCGGTTGAGTCTGACATTTTGGGATAGAGGGATTAGGGATGAGACAAAATGAAATGGGTATTGTATTGGTAAGATGACAATGTTTAGGTGTAACTTTACTATGTTGTACTCAAAATAGTGAAGTAACACGTTATGTGTAAAGGGGAGCTCGATAACAATATAGTACGAAGGAGGCAGAAGGTTGAAGTTGACAAGGCTAGAGATAAAAATAAAAACAATGTTTCCTTATCGATAAGGATTTTGACTTGTCTTGATTGACATCAGCACCAGAAACCGAAGCGGGGCATATGAGGGTTCAACTCGTGGAAGTAGCATCGATCGTCGTCACATCACATCACGTTAGATGAGATTACTACCTAGGTGATTGTTTCACCACATTTCGATAGCCGTAGTAATTTCATGGACATTCCATAATTACTCATACTTTCTCTTGGTGCTCAATCTACTTTTGTTGTGTTTCGACTTTCACTCACTTGTCATCTTATCTCGATTGTCCACGTTGTTTTGACTTGTGTGTGTGACTTGTTGAGTTTTAAATTATCCCGAGAGTTTGAAATACCTACACCCCTTAAAATGGAAGACCAAGTAACGAGATTGGCGGAGAAGGTTTGGGGTATGTAATTACTCTTCTGTGTTAATATTGGATGATATAGGAGCTAATGATTCCGTTTAGAAAGTTTCCAACAAACACCTCCTAATAGTAGATATCTCATCGCAGTTTCTGGGATTCCGGGTTCAGGTATTTACATCCTTATTGTTCTCTTCCCCCATATTCCTATTCCCCAATCTCTAACTAAAAGCGCTCTTAGGCAAACCACCCTCGCAGCAACTATTACCAAACGTCTCAATGCTCTCCAAGACGCCCACTCAAACAAAACTTCCCTTCCCCCAATCGCCGGGTTCATCCCCATGGATGGCTACCATTTGACCCGCGCCCAACTATCAGCCATGCCTGACCCAGCACATGCACACGCACGTCGAGGCGCAGAATTTACATTCGACGGCCCCGCATTCCTCTCTCTCATTCAGCGTCTTCGTGAACCACTTACTCCATCTACCATCACAATCCACGCTCCATCATTCGATCATGCGCTCAAGGACCCCAAGGCTAATGATATACCAATTGAACCCACGACCCGGATACTAGTTTTTGAGGGCAATTATTTATCGTTGAATAAGGAACCGTGGAGGAGCGCTGCAAAATTGATGGATCAGCTTTGGTTTGTGGATGTGGATTTTGAGGTTGCGAAGAAGAGGTTGATCCCGAGACATGTAAAGGCAGGGATTGCAGAAAATGAGGAGGATGCGGAGAAGAGGGTCGTGGAGAATGATTTGGTTAACGGGGAGGATATTGTTAAAGGGAGGATGGAGGTTGACGAGATTATTGTTAGTACGAATGATGTTGCTTGGAAGTAGATAGCTGGTGACGTGGAAAAAGTAAAGAATAACTACAACCTAGTCCGTAAATCGCGGATTATGAATCATTCAAATTGAAGGTTTAGCCGGTCTAATCTAGCAATGAACTTTTTACCATCTCGGCATCCCTGAGCAGTCGTAGTACATCTGAAACTAAATAAAGACTACCTGCCACAACGATAGGACCACCTTGAGCAACAGTGGCTGCCCATCTTAGTGCTCCAGAAATATCTGCCGATGAATCATGCAGGCAAGTGGTAGAAATACCTGCTGTAGAAGCTGCATGTAATATATCTTCTGTATCCATAGCTTGAACCCATGGCATTCCATCCACGGGTCCAAATTGAACTGCAGCTACACAGTCACCTTCTCTTAAAATCTCTTTCATAATCCCATCGAGCTCTTTGCCTTGAGATGCAGCTAATACCCAGGTTACTTTGTTTGATTTTGCCCGGAGCTTGCCATTAACATATGAACCAAGAACTTCTGCGGATTGAACGTTGTGTGCGCCATCGAGTAGTATGGGTTCTTTTCGACCTGTCACAGCTCTAACATCAGTAGTTTGAAGCCTACCGGGCCAATGTATATTTTGTATAGCTGGTAATAGTCGATGTAGAGGAGATTCCAATTTAGTATATGCTAGATGAAATGCTGTGTACGCGCAAGCTAGATTTTCCAATTGATGTGGTTCGAGATCTTGTCCTTTGATTTCATCCAAAAATGCTGATTCAGTAGAACTGATAACCACATCTGTTCCAATTCCTTTGGCATAATTTGAGACGACTTCCCGCACCGAAGATATATTGCTCCTATCCAAAACACATGGAACGCCAGGTCTCATGATTCCAGCTTTTTCTCGAGCTATTTCTTCGATTGTATTTCCTAGGAATGATTGATGGTCTAGACCAATCTTGGAGATTATTGTGACCGCCTTATTCTCCATAGCATTTGTTGCATCTAATCGTCCTCCCAAACCAACTTCGACTACTCCCATCTCTACTTTCTCTTTATAAAATACTTCGAATGCCGTGGCTGTGAGTAGTTCGAATTCGGATGCTTGGAGGTTCTCTGCTTGATTTCTCTCCAACACTAGAGCTTCAGCTTCGCGGAAGATAGATTCTCGAATTGGTCGTTCATCGATAGTTATACAATCCCACCTATCAATTAAATGAGGCGATGTAAATCTGCCACAACGAACACCACTGGCATGTAGCATGGCAGACAAATAGGCACATATGGAACCTTTTCCATTGGTACCTGCAACATGAATGGCTTTCCAAGGTTGAGGAGTATGCCTCAAAAGACGACTGATGCGATTTAAGCCAAGCTCAATCATTGTGAAGATGGAGAATCAAATGATTGGTTCAAAAGGGCGTTTCAAAATAGACTTTGTAATAATGTAAGCTGGGTTGGTGACTATTTCTTTCCAGTAAATATAGACATTGTCAATATGGTTGTCATCGATTCATTCTGTTGTTCTAGAATACATACTTTGTTGCTGTCGTCGCATCATATAAAATGTGAGTCAATCGTGATATCAATGGATCTCCCAAGCTAATGAGAGCTTCAAGTACCGGATCTCCAGTCTTGATAACTTTGAATGTGAAAACCTTGGAATCCTTGGAATTGGTCTGGTCTTTAGTTATCGATAATCGATACCAATTACGCAGTAACCCAATGTATGCAAGTACCGTTGTCATGGATGTCTAGTACTTGTAGTAAGGTTAAAGAAGGAGATCCATTTTAATTACCCAGTACGATACTTGGACTGGGTATTTAGCGCGCTTTTTTTTGGAACGCGATCGATCGATTCTCAACTCAAGTCCTCCCCCATATTCTTCCTTCTCTTTTCTTCTTCACTCTCTCACTTCGACTGAATGAGCAACCTTCAACATATCAGACACATATCACACACATCCCCAATTGTCAATTTAAAATCCATCAAAATTGTGATAACGAAGAATCAAGTCACGCTCATTAATACCTAGAGTCTTTTCTATCAATTTTTATATTCCTTCTATTCACTCTCGATCCACTCAAAGCATGGGTTTTACCGTAAGTCATCAATCCCCCCCTTCATATTCGCCCTGTCGCATTGCTGCCAAAATATCATACTCATTCAAAATCACAGAATATTTTTCAAGCCTCGGAGCCCGATTCCTCATAAATGCGACAGAAGAAGACCCTACTCTTCCCTCCCGCGCACGATCTACTATTAGAGGTCATGCCCTATCTTCGAAGTACTCTGAGCAAATCCTTCTCTCGTGCTACTAACCGTGGCGTTTGCATAGCGCACGGAGATGGGCGCCCACAGACGATGTTGAACAGCATCGTCTTTATCACAGCTCTGACGCAACTCGTGTATTCATCACTGCTCCTACTAGATCTTCAATCACAAAAACAACTAGTGATGCCATGGGACATGCGAGGAGAAATGATTCTTCATCACCGGAAGTTCCAATAACAACATTTAGGCCTAATGCCTTCATAGATATTTTGAATGCCAATGATGATGATGATGAGGAGGAGGACGAGGATGATGAACTACCGATGCCCGCTGTTCCGGAATCTAGAGATTTTTCCAACCCTTCAAATTTAGAGTCGCGAGATTCTGTCAGACGTCATCAGCGATTGATGAGAACTGCAATACTTGGAGCTCATGGCTTGCCTCTCTCCTCTTTCCTCTCTCGAACATCTCCAATTCCAGAACAGCGCCCCAGGGCAGTATCCCCCATTCGAGTTGATGTCAGAAACACGAACCGCAATGTAAGCTAAAATTTAATAAGTGCCCAAGCATCGCAGTATGTGGACTAAGTATGACCGTAAAGATTTTGCTAATTACATTCTTAGAATCCATTAGCGGAACGTGCCGGTGAAACGAACTCACAAGATTTCTCGGCGCAGAGGCATCAGGTGGGACGGCGAGATACAGCAGCAGATCGAGACCGGCGCATTCAGCGACGCGTGCGTGGAGGGCCACGCAATCTTGATGCCACTATCAGACAAGAACTGCTTCAACACTCCCGCCATCATGACCCGGTCGAATATCGACAGCGATTTTATAGCCACGAGGCACGACGCATCAGCGATTTCAGAGAGCAATTGCGGATCAGGGAACGAATTCGAGCTTCGAGAGAACGAATGCAGGCTAATAGAGAATCCACTCCCGCCAGAACCGAAGGGCTACTGCAGGGTCTTAGAGAAATAACAGACCGGTCCACTCGCCCTGCATCTGAAGACCGACTGCTTGCTGACGTTGAGCGTCCTGGAATATTGAGAGAGAGACCTCTAGCTGGTGAAGTGCAATTCAGGCGGTACACCCCCTCCGGCCGTCGAGAACAGCAGACCAACACGCCGCACAGTGAAATAGAACAGGCCGATCAATCAATTTCTTCTAGTTCCAGAGAGCAGCATCGATTTGATTTATTTGAAGGAATGCCTAATCATCTCGACGTTGAAAGTAACGGACAAGAAGCCACCCAACCTAATACACTACCGCAGTTTGGGGAAGGAGGAACTTTCAGGATAAACACCAATTATGACGGCCTCGGTGATCGAGAACGTAGCATTGAGTTTCAAGAGCCAGAGAGGGGTCACGGAGAATTTGATGGCCATTACGTCATAGATAATGTTGAGCAACACGATGTTCACGACCGTAGTGACTCAAGGCATGATTTGGATCTAGAAGGTCAAGAGTCATGGGACAGTATCTTGATCACGCCAGATCCACAATCACCAAACCCATCATCTTCATTTGCTTCAACCGCTGCGTCTAGCTCACAGCGGCCTTCTCTAGGAACCTCTATTAGTAGTCTGCCCGAGAATGAGTCTCTTACGATTGGTGATTGCGACAATCCATCAGATATAGAAATCGATGATGAGGCAATTATCGCAGCTATTGAATATTTCGGACGATATACACAAAATCGCCCAGGCCCTGCATATGTCGAACAACCTATTGGACATCATAGAACATTCGCGGGGTGATAAATCTACCGAATTGGCCTTGGATGAATACATTTATCGATAATTGGGTTTCATTACTATTCCAGGGACGAGTGTTGTTTTTCTGAGAGGCGATCAAGCACGCTATTGCAGAATGATTTATCGCAAATCTGATGATATATTGTATTATTATACTGGCGTTGGGTCAAGCGGGGAAATACACTTTCTGTTTGTTCGTGATTATGATCAAACAAGCAGTAATATGGGCGTTCGTCATTCATGATTTAATGATTGCCATAAAGGAAGATCAATTTGATCAAGGAATATTGGATTACGAGCCACATAAGGGAGTTATTGGACATTGAAAAGGCAAAATGGGGGAGTTGAATCTGGCGAAATGCTTAGTTTTATGACAAAGGGGTCCAGTTTTTCTAGACAATTTTTAGTACAGAGGTATCAGATGCTTCGCAGGTAACCTGTGGTGGAGATATCAATGAGTGGATATGAGTATGAAAAGAGTTTGAAAGATGACTTTTAGTCAGGGTGGTTTGGTTGATTGATCATTTCAGTCCTTCCTCCCTTTTTGTATATACCTAGGTATTGTCACATATAAAAAGAGGTATTATTCCTTTTTTTGACCCCATCAATTTGAAAGCAATCAAAAAAGAAACTCCATGAGACAATCAAACAATAAATGGCGTTCCCAAGAGACAATTGTTAAACCAGATGTTGCCAGTTCCCTTATCATATCAAGATTATCCATCTATCTCTACGATATCACCGAAGTGATGATTTACGACTATCAGCCTTACTAGGCACGGCATACTTTATTTAGATGCAGCTCGCCAGAGAGAGGGAGTGGTTGCGACTTCAACAGGATCCACCCATGTAGGCGCTTGTTTGCCAATTTTGTTTAATCTTGCCTTGCCAATGTTTTAATTTCTCTCTTTCTGATAATGCTCCATAACTCATAATACCACGCTTCGTGTTTTTTTTGTAATGATTGGACAAACATTCATACACAATACTTCAACAATAAAGAATGTTTATTATCT